GAATGTCAACTTGTGCAGCCACTTTGGAGATCAGTGTGGAGATTCCCCAGAAAAATGGAAATCAGTTTACCACAAGATCCATCAATTCCACTCTTAGGCATATACCCAAAAGATGTACCCTCATACAATAAGGACATCTACTCAACTATGTTCATAGCAGCATTAGTTGTAATAGCCAGAACCTGGAAAGAGCCTAGATGCCCCTCAACTGAAGAGTAGAAACAGAAAATGTGGTACATTTACACAATGGAGTACTACTTAGCAGGAAAAAAAATGGAATCTTGAAATTCACAGGCAAATGGATAGCACTGGAAGAAACCATCCTGAGTGAGGTAACCCAGTCACAAAAAGACAAGCATGGTATGTACTCATTCCCAGCCCACAATCCCACCGCCAGAGAGTCTGGGGTGCAGGGAGGACCCTAAGAGAGATATGCATGGTAACCCGGAGAAGGGTTAGGGGATGTGATCTCCTAATTGGATTGGGGGGGGAGAAGGGAAGGGTAGAAGGAGATGGGAGAAAGAGAGGGAGAAAAGAGGAGGGGAGAGGAGGACATGGGAGAGCAGGAAGGTTGAGCCAGGGTAAGAATAGAGGAGAAAAGGATGGGAGATACCATAAAAGAGGAATTCATTATAAGTTGGAGGAGAGATCTGGCACTAGTGAGATCATCACAGATCTACAAGAATGACACCAACTGGCATTAAGGCTACCTTAAATGCCCTCCCATGATAATGAGAATGATGACTACCTTAACTCTCATCCAGTGGCTGACGGAGGGCAGAGGCAGACACCCACAGCTGTGAACTGAATTGAACTCCTGGAGCCCAGTTGCAAAGAAGAGTGATGACCAAAGGAATCAAGATTGGGCTTGGTGAAACCCACAGAGGCAGCTGACCTAAACAAGGGGGGAACACATGGACCCCAGACTGATGACTGAGGGGTCAGCATGGGACTGATCCAGACACCCTTCCACCGAACCTGGGTGACAGAGAGGAGGAGGCCTTGGCAATCTGTGGGAACTTGGAGAGTGTAGCAGTATTTATTCCTGGCATACCGAGGGACTCTGGGAACCCATACCATGTGGAGGGATGATCTCTCAGCCTGGACACATGGGGAAGAACCTGGGCCCTTCCTGGGATGATGTGACCTGATATTCCAACAGCTCTAGGTGATCTAGTGCCCTCTGTCACTCTCAGACCCCTGCACACATGTGTATGTACTAACAAATAAGTGTACACACATACACATAAATTCACAAAGATTAAAAAATATTTTTAAAAGTTGAAAGTGTTAAAATTTTCACTTTAAAATTTGCACTTTCCCTGTTTACAATATTATGCCATATCTAAAATTCTTCTGTTAAGAAGGAACTGTATCAGAGGTGATTACTTCATGAGACTCTTGGGAAAAACATTCTATCCTTTGTACCTTTCTGTCTTCTGCCACAGTGGACACAGTGATATTCATCACAAAGACCAGCCAATAAAGAGCCATCCCAGAAGCTAAAGCTACGTCCTTACAAGAAAGTAAATACTTCAGAGTGTTTTTCTTCTACTCCCAACTTCCATAATCGTGAGAAGAAATTGTCATTGCTTATAAATGATGCAGTGCTGAGTATTTTTGCTATAGCAGGACAAGTGCATTAGGAAGCCCCAATATCATGACAGCAGTAGGTGTAGTACATGAGATCAAACCAAGAACTTTGCAATTATTAGATACTTAATTTATTAAGCAATCGTATTTTCTAATGTCAAAAGGACTATAAGAAAAAACAAGAATGTGTTTTAAATGTTCTTGGAAGTCTTTTGATGTGATCAAGTTCTAAATTTAACAGGGCAAGGAAAGGAAGTTCTTCTCATGAATAAGAATGGGATGCGCCGGGTGTTGGTGGCGCACGCCTTTAATCTCAGCACTTGGGAGGCAGAGGCAGGCGGATCTCTGTGAGTTCGAGGCCAGCCAGGTCTACAAAGTGAGTTCCAGGACAGCCTCCAAAGCCACGGAGAAACCCTGTCTCGAAACACCAAAAAAAAAAAAAAAAAAAGAATGGGATGCAACCCAGGTCCACTCTTAAAAAATTACAAATGTTGTTTGTCTTATTAACAAAACTGTTGGAAGATATTTTTATCAAAGTCTATTTATGCTGGAAGAGTTTAATTAACTTTAAAATATGATTTCTGGCAGGGTTAGGGTTTGGGGTTAGAGTTAGCTGGTTAAGCAGTTAGAGTTAGAATTATGAGAGGGTAAGGGTTAGGGCTAGGTTTAGGGTTAGGATTAGAGTGCCCTGATCCCTTCCTCTGCAGTGACCTCTTCTAAGATGTAACTCTTGAAGAGGAGAAATGATGTCAAAAAGGCAAAGTAACACAAATGTGATTTTGACTTTGAACAACTAGGGTTAGGGTTAGACTTAGGGTTAGGTTCAGGATCAATGTCAGAGTCAGGGTCAGGGTTAGGGTTAGGATCAGGGACCTTCTGAACTGTAATGGGCCAGTCTGATGACACCCTGACATAGAGTGGACAACTACTGTTCATAGACACTGTGTGTGCACTTCCTAGTCAGTAATGTGCAGGTCCACTGACCTCTTAATGATCTGACTGCCTCCTAAGTGCTAGCACAGGAGCTGTGATTGGGTTAGCGTGTTGGTCTGTGAATGACTGCTGTGATACTGAGTTTGAGGATCTACCTACCCATGATTGGGTCCATCTGCTATGCTAGGAGTGGACCCACTGCCCCACTAATTACAGAGTGGCCTTGTTTTGGGGACTGTCATGAGCACTTACTGGGGTTTAAACTGTGAGGAATGATGACAGACTCAGTAAGTTGGTTTTCAGTATATATTTTACTTCACACTTATATCAGAGCAATTCACACAAGCAGAAGTAAAGTACTAGGGACCATATCCACTAGGCTCACAACTGGGGTACCTGTCCGGCACAGGGTCACAGCTTGTGACATCTCGAGATTTCTTTGGATTCAGGCAGTGAGTACACCAAGGTTTCTAGTTTTCGATGTCTGTTACTGGATCCAGTGGTTCTCAGCTTAGTGAACTGGCTTCTCAGGCAGAGGAGAGTTCCAGGGCATGTCCTTCATGCTCTGCTTCTCGGTCCTGAGTTGGTCCTTAAACACCTAGCTTATCACACTCTACTACACATGCACACTTTCATGAAGATGAGTATGTAATGATATTATTAGACCCAATATAAATGATAAATAGGTGTTTATTGGGGGAACAATTACAAATACAAAGAACCATGGGAGAAATTCCTTGCTCTTCTTACCAGATCCGCTAACCCCACAGAAAGAGCACTTAAAGAAATCCATGCCTCAAGCTCATACACACACACACACACACACACACACACACACACACACACACACACACACACACACACACTTTGATTCATTCTTATCTCTAGTAGTCAGGCATACATTCACTTTCCTAATTTCCTTCCAGCCAGGCTTCTGCCTGTCTATTTACATGCTCCTTACAGTGTTCAACTGTTAGAGCTTGGATTTGGCACTCCCTGCTTGGAGTTGCATATTGACTGTTCTTTGCCTTGGTCCCCAGGCTGTGAGCAGAAAGCAGCTTCTGTTTTGAGGATATGGGAATTATGTGCACATTTATTTTTACTGTGACTTTTCAGCATCACATTTTACATAAGGCCTCGTTTATCTTACTATTGTAAAACTCCTGAGTTTTAATTAAAATGTTTGCCTATGCCTTCCCAGGTAAGGTGATAACCATACACAAGCTGTGGAGACCCTATGGCTTATGGACATTTCTGGGATATTCACATTGGAAGATTCCTTATTAATGAAAGTCTCTGACTTAAATATAACCAAAAACCCATGTCATAATTCTTTGTACATGTTCATTATATAGTGTTTGAAAGGGGTAAACTAAACTCAAAAAGGCTTCAAGCCTTCAGAACAAAACCAGTCCACCCTTTCCCCTAACCTCAAGAAACTTAGTTCTTGAAGACTGTGATGTGAGCAACAGGCCACCTGCAAGAAACAGGCCAAAAGTAAACACAAAGAAACTACAAGACAACATTCCTTAGTCCCCAGGAGACATAGTCCGGAGACATAGATATTTCTTGAAAACTATGTTTAGACACAAAGAAAATCCAGGATCTTGGTCCCTGGAAGTTATATACAACAGACCACCTCCAAGAGACTGACAAAGCCACAGAAACCACAGATGTTCCCTCCTATTACCAACCAATGAGAACAAACCAATAGACAAAGTCATAGAAACCACTGTATGCTCCCACCTAGAGCCAACCCATCAAAAGCATTGACAGACTAGTTGCCTTGCCAAAACTATGACTGAGAAATTCCCCTAATTGTTCCCCAAGAGTCAACCAATCAGGATTCAACCCATGCCTCTCCCTACCTACTTATATAATCCTGTGATTTTTGTCTTTAAAACTCCTGCAATGAACTGGGTGGCCACTCCCTCTGGAAACTGCTGGATAGAGTCCCTACTGGTAGGATTGAATAATAAAGCCTTGCATTTGCAGTTTCATGAATCTGTCTCCTGGGGTGGTCTCTGGGGGTCTTTGTGACTTGGGCATAACAGTGTTAACAAGCTTACTTGCAAACAAATAACTACTTAAGCTATTTGTTTACCTTGAAAAGAAAAGAATTTCAGGAATCAAAAGTCTAAACCATCACCCAGCCGTCTTGTGAGACCTGTCATCTTGTTTGTGATCTGGTTCCTTCTTTTCTCTCATGGTTGTCTGAAGTCCCTGTGGCTACAAGGTTAAAAATTACATGCAGTTTACCTGACCTCACCATGAGGTCACAGAACAAATATCTTTTGTGGCCTAAAAGCTGTCTTTAATTTTTAATATTCTGGTCATCCATCCACCCATGTGACAGCAATCACTCCACCCCACATAGTATAGTGGACTGTGCAAGCTAGCTAGCTACATTGTGTCCAGGAGAAAGAAGGGGAGGTGCCTATGGAGTGCAGAAAGACAGCAGGGTCAGCTATTGGATCCAGGGGCAAGTGATATTGAAATGCATATCTCTGCAGATCCGGAAAAGGTCTGTGTCTGGGGAAATGCATGGCCAGGAAACATTGTTCTGTGTCTTTAAGCACCCTATAACCCTAAAGGAGTGATCTTGTCACTTAAGCCTGACTAGCCAATCAGGGCCTCCAGACGACCTGCCAGTCAGAAGTGGTGCAGGGTCCTTCCTGCCAGGGGGGCTTCAGGACCGGCTTTGTAGTGGAGCTGGAGCCAGCGGTTTTGTGTGCTGTGCTGCTGGAAACTGAACAAAGAGCTTGGGCAACCTGGGAAACCACGATATGGTGAACAAGGGGCTGATGTCTCCAGATGGGGAGGAACAGAAGGTAAGGAGCTGGGGCTGGTGTCGTGGGTCCTCCCCAGATCTGGGTGGGAACCAGCAGCCAGATTCCCTGTCCTGTGACAGCTTGTGATGTCCTGCACCATCCAGTTCCCTGCACCCAGCGGCAGGCCTCAGAATAACTTTGCTCTGTGGGCTGAATCTGCTCAGAGCACTGAGAGCAGCTGCTGTTCCCAGATGGGGAGGAGAAAGTGGTGAAGTGCAGGAGTTGGTGCAGTGGGTTATACAAAGATCTGGTTGGAAACCTGCAGCCAGATTTTCTGTCCTGTGAGGTCCTATGTGGTCTTTGAAACTCCCTGGAACCAAGGGCAGACCTCTGAATAATTTTCTCTGTGGGCTGAATCTGCTCAGAGCACTGGGAGCAGGGAGCTGTGTGTAGAAACATCTTTCTAGTCAATTTCAACATGAAAACCAGGTCGCTAAACTCAGAGAGGTCTAGTTTCCCTAATATCTTTCTAGATGGTCAGAACTTTGCATTTTACCTTTTTGTGTAAAGATCCATTTATAGTTAATTTTGAGGAGGTTGTAAAAAGCATCTCATATGTTGTGTAGCACTCCAGCACTATGCCATGATGTGATATAAAGGATTTATCAATGCTTAGGAGATAGTGAATCTCACAAAGCAGAATTTAGGTGAGGGAGAACTGCCTCTAAGATATCCAAAAGACAAGTAGATGCTAACGAGACCTGTTAGAGATTAGGATAGACAATTGTACACCAGGACTGTCCAGACATTTGGCTCCAAACCATTACAAAGGAGCCACCCCTAATTTATAACCAGCCTGTAGGCCCAAACCTATATCAAAGAAAAGGCATCTAACAAGCTGCTCAAGGAGGCAGACATTGCAGGATCACAACCAATTTAGGGTCTGGTGAGCAATAAAGTTCCAGTTTTCTTCTTAAGAAAAGCATAGTTCTGCCAGATGGGCAATATGACATCAGGTGACCACTATTTGAAAAGTTAAACACTGTTGTGTTAAGGGCTGACCTAATCATTCAAGGCTTTCATTTAAGCCCTCAGGCATGGAGGAGGAGCATTCTTGGGAGAACTAGTTACAGTCTGGGTCTCAGGACTTGGGAGATTTCCCTAAGTGCCTGGTAAATTGACAGCAAAACAGAAAGCCTTGTCTAAAACCAGGAGAACAATAGTAATGCTCTGGGTCAGAGCCTTAGTGGAGGGCTGCTTCAGATCTTGAGAACTTAACCTTTCCCACCATATGGAGCTGTGGTTACCAGTCCCAAGGCCTCTGTGTGTTTAGTCCATAATGATCTTGAGATAGCCTGTGTTACCCTTGTGCAACATTGTTCAATTAGCCTATTCCCTGAGTTTGTCCCATTGCATGATAGTTTCTTTTCGATTCATAGAAGTTCCCCATTTTTTCCCCATTTATCCCTTGAAGTAGTATATAAGATACTATGTTTCTTTTTCTTTCTTTCTTTTTTTTTTTGTTTGTTTTTTGAGACAGGGTTTCTCTGTGTAGCAGCCCTGGCTGTCCTGGAACTCCCTCTGTAGACCAGGTTGGCCTTGAACTCACAGAGATCTGCCTGCCTCTGACTCCCGTACCCTGAGATTAAAGGTGTATGCCACCACCTTCTGACTAAGATGCTATTTTTCTTAAGAAACTTACTTGGCATGGGAAGCTGTCTTGGCTGGGATTGACATGTGAAGCAAGGTTGTTTCTAATTTAAATAAAACAAACAAAACAAAACAAGTAAAATATAAAAATTTAAAAAAGAAGCTTACTTGATATGGGACATAGCTTGTGCAAGACCTCCCCATTCCAGATTTATCTTTTCTACCTTCTGTTTGTCCTATCTTTCTTATCCCCCACCACCTTCACCTCAGCACTGCCTGTCAGTGAAGAATGACCTGCTCTTTCAATTCACTGGTTTACTTAAGAATTTATTCTGGGAATATCTTTGCTGTGTAACTCTCCTATCTGCCTAAGTCTCTAATTTGTTCAAAGTGTAACCTGGGACGTGAACCTAAAAGACACTTAAGGATGATGGCATTTGTGAAATGCAAACTCTAAGTTGAGTCCTCTTTGAGCATTTGCCAGAGATGAATACATACTATCATTAAAGAGATTATTCTTTATTAATCTCTCAAGTGTGAACAGCTGCATTTCTATCCTCTTTGAAAAAATGTTTCTGAGACAAGCTATCTTATGTTGACTGGGGTGGCTTTGATTCCAGTCTGTTGATCTCCAGGTAAATGTCCTTGCTGTCTTCTATATTAGGCCTTCAAAAATTAAATGACTATACCACTTCAGAGATTTAAAATTGTCCATCTGAGTCATGTAGTAGACTATCCAATGCAGTCATAGGAAAATGTGGAGCATGTGGAGCATGGCTTCTGCCTTTGGACCAAAATAGGAGGAATAGTTTATTGTGTATACTGCAGGGGAAACAGGGTAGGTAATCAGCTGCTGGAGTTACCATTATGAAAAAGGACCTGATTGTGGTAGGGGGGAATGATTTTGTAATTTTTGTAATTTTCCAGCATTTTAAATGCTGTTATCACATGAATGATAACAGACCAGATTGTGTGGGTATACAGTTTGGAAGTTTATCTTGAGCCAATGAATATTGAATTTGCAATTGGGCAACTCTCCTATACAGGTATATTCTATCCTGCTTGACACAGTTATGTCAGCTCAGAGAAATAGGCCATTGACTGTAACTCTGTCAGTTTACAGAGCCCAGCATCCAACATATGCATATGGTCAGGGTCAACCTGTCTCTTATTAAATGACATTCCTGCTACTAGGGAACAACCTACACTTTTTCAAAGTCAATATTTATTTTAAAATACATTTTTATCTTTTTAAAAAATCATTCATTGGTATTATTTTAAAATATTTTCTTTAAGTACATTGCTGCCCTTATCTCTGCTTCTCTTCTCAAATGTTTCTAGGACATTAGTAGTTTCATTCCTTTCCTCTCAAATGAGGTTGATTATTGATTTCTGTGTAGAGAAATGTCTACTGTAGCTCAGGCTTGCCTCATGCCATGTAATTGAGAATAGCCTTGAACACCTAACACTGCCTTTACTGCCCATTGTTGTGAAGACAGTTCTCCAACTCTTTCCAGTCTGGGCCTTGACTGGTCAGTGAAAAGGAAAAATAGATCGGTTAAGGAGTGACAACCTCCAATTTCTCTGGGTTTCATTGGAAACTTGTAAGTGAAGAGGGACCTGGGCAAGAATTGAGTTCATTGACCAACTATCAAACTGGTGAAGTCACAGTGCAGAAAGGGAGAAGGAGGGCAAGAGTTGAGATTAACAATGTGGGATTATGTAACTAATTTTAGATGATCCATAAATGTCCTGACTGCCCATTTCTTGGGGTTCACAGACCCAGGCAATAAAGAATCTGGGTAAAGGTCTGACCTTATCCTGAATCCAAATTGCTATAGTTATAGTAGTTCAACCAAAATAGAAATCTGGGTAAAGTGGTGTGGCCCTGCATAACAGAACTGTTCTTTTTTTGGTTTAAGATGTTCATCCTTAGAGAAAAGGTGTGAGAAATCTCTGATGTGCTCTAATACAAATCCCTAGTCTCTGGAGCACTGTTTCAAATTTTGAATACTTTTTGAGATTATAGCTACATCATATCTACATTTTCTTTCCTGCATCCAAGCCCTACAATGAGCCCTCATTGTTTTCTAATTCGTGGCCTGTTTTTTGTTTTTTTAAACAGTAGTCACTGTGCGAATGTGACCTGTATCTTTAGGATTTCCCAGCTGTGAGGTAATGGGTTGGCTGCACTGGACATTGAGTGTGTGATGGAGTGTGCACACAAAGGTCCCTGTTCTTTGGATGAGGAACAGATAGTACTCTAGGAGAGTGAAGAATGTCTACTAAAATGCAAACTGTCTAGGCTAAGGCCTTGCTGCTGGGCGGGAAGGGCAGAGCTGGGAGGCTGTGCTGTCTGAGTCATTTCATCTCTGATCACCCAGAAGGGAAGCTGCTAATATTCTGAGGCCATCTGGATGGCCCTAGCCAATGAGGGACCCTGGGGAGGGTTAACAATCTGGAGTACTGGTGACAAGTAGCTTGCAGGTTCTTCCCAGAATTATCCTCTGCCTCTGCTGTAGCAAGTTGAAAGGAAGACTACAAGTCATGCCATAGTGAGTGTGGGGGGTGCAGAGCAGGTCTGCTGAGTTGTCATTTCTGCTGATATTTGTATGGACCATGAGCCAGACTGTGGTGTGGTTCATCCATATAGTGTCCTGGGCAGTGTTCCATGCTCTCTGAACCTCCCTGTGTGTGGGTTTCCTGGGGAGGGGGAGACTCTGCAGCCCAGGCATGGTAGGATATGTTTGTAACATTACTGTCCAGTGTGCACACACGGGCACTACTTTTGGTGCTCAATGGGAAGACAGATTGGAAAACTGACAGCCTGGTTTCTAGAAGTTCTGAATATTGCATTCTATCATGGAAATATTAAGCTACAAAAAGTAGGGATGTCCTATGATAGTTTATTGAGGGAGAAGTCACTTACATGAGAAACCAAGAAAGTTGGGAACCAAAGGTCCGCTTGCTGCTTTCTGAGACTTGACCAGAACCCAAAATAGAATGTCTCCTTCCCCCCAGCTCTTTCATCCCCTGTGTGTTCTACATACCTGTGACCACACCCAAAGGTCACAGGTATGTAAGATCTCTCCCTACACCATTCCACTTTCAAGTTTGTCTTATAAATGTTACAAATAGTTTAGAGGGTGGTAGAAAGATGAGGATGTGTATCAACTTTCAGCAACACATGATTAGATTGCTTTTACATTCCAGTTACCACCAGCCATAATGGTGTGATTCAGTGAAGTTTAGTTCCAGGGAACAAAAGGAGTTTTGTTGCCGCAAATGACTGGGGAATGTTGACTTTTGAAAAAATGTTGAAGATATCAGAACATAGATGGCAGAAGTCATAGAAAGTTGTTCACAGAGCTTAATCGGCTGTTCTAGAAGGACCTCAAAGAGAAGAATGT